CGAAACAGTTTGTCACAGCCCCTCGTTTGTTGTCCTCTTCTCCCTCTCTGCCTACGGTTTACCGGGCAGTTCTATTTGACAATATATATATATACGCGTACGTATCATATATATAACATAATAAATATATATATATGACGATATATATTTATTATGTTATATATATGATACGTACGCGTATGCACGTTTTTAGGTACGTACGTGTATGCACCGCATACTACCATCTTCCCCCGAACATAACGCACCCTAAAAATGAATGTATACAAGCTATATTACGGTTTACCGGGCAGTTCTGTTTGTGACGATATATACATATTATATATTGTCACATAACTATGAACTAAAAGAGCGCACTTTGCGAAAGAAACGGCAAAAATAAAAAAATAAAAAAACAAGACAAACATGAAGGGCACAGTGAAACCATTCATTTTTCTCATTCCTCTTTTGACTCCCCCCTTTCACCGTGCCTCTCACGTACAAGGCTCGCCACGTTGATGAAGTTGAGCACGAGGTGCCCCCATCCCCGTGTGCCATAACAGCCCAGTTGTGCGCTGTGAGAAAGAGGCAGAGTGAAGGGGGAGGGGATAAGCACAGGGAGGAGAGATGGAGAGCAGACAAACAAGCGACGATAAAGGGAAAGTAAGAGAAAGTATGGCGTGTGGAGTGAAGATGAAGGCAAAAGAGGATAAGAAAAGGCTCAAGAATGAGTCTGTCCTTGACGGCAGAGAGGACATACATTGTAACGATGTCGTGGATGAACACATGGAAGACCTAGCTGAGCATTCTCAGTGCAACAATTGCCACGACGGGAGGCATTGAGCATGCCCACCATACACCCCCGACAAATGGCACGTTGTTTGCAGGCCAAAATGAAAGAAGAACGGTCACCACAAAAGAGCATGCATTCGGTATAGCGCCCATGGCCGCAAAATGGTCATAGTGTGTCCAGATGCAGAGGGTGCCTGCAGTCAGGACCGGTGGGACAGTCCTCTGCACACATGGATGCAGAAACTATGCCATTGTAGTGATTGTGACAGAGACGATGACGGCTACAGCCGAGTGTAACAGTGTTTGTTGCTGTGCAAAGGAAAAGGTCGCAGAGTGTTGGTACCTTGTCTTGCTGCCGCACGGGGCCAGAGGAATGATCTTCGACATAAAAGAGATTGCGGACGGTTTGTTGTGGCAAGAAAACAGCATCATTTTGTAAGAAACCAGTGACATCAATCATGGCATGGACCATGGTGCCGTTGTCCCACAGCTCCCACTGGTCAGAGGCATGTACAATGGCCATTATTATGGCCAGGTGCGTGCACAATGCAGGTAGAGATGTGGGATGGAGGATTAAACCACTCACCTGCTCAAGCATTGCGTAGTTCAAGTCGGCGGTCCCCCTCAGGTGTGCCCCCCCCCCCCCCCCCTTCCCCCCCTCCCTCTCCTGAAGTTTGTTCTTGACGCCTATTTTCGGGGGTGAAGCGCATCATGTGCACGCGCACGCGTGCGCATACGCTGTACACCGCACATGTGCCACCACAACACTCATGTGATGCACCGCAGCTATGGTTTATAACTTTATGCCAGTTTATGTTAACCTAACCGAATTCATCGAAATGGCCGACAGCCACAAGAGTGCGATCGTTCGTTAAATTATCTGACAGTCAATCCCTCTCATTGCAGACGCAATCAGGTTTTACTCATCAATCAGGTTCCATCATCTGGATTCGAACTCGGGTCTGCATTTCAACACTTCATGGGTGTACCCACTGAGCTAGGCCTCAATGCTGTCAACATTCGTCCTTTTTTGTGCTGGTACAACATTCATTCCTCACTGCCGTCACCTTCTCAGTTCTTCGATCCTCCAACACACCGCTACACTGTGATCATCCCTGCTACTTACTAAATACAAAATGGGTCATTCTCACCCAGCCCATGTGGCTGAAAGGTACACCACCCATGAACTGAAGACAACCAGACCTGGGTCCAAATCCTGATGGCAGCAGATGCATGAAATGACTTGGAAAATACCAGGCCCGGTCAGCTGTACGATGACACCTTAAGGTTGCTGCCATTTGGGGAGGAGGTGGGGGGGGTGGGGGGGGGAGAAGGAACGTGCTTGCCAACCTCTTCTTCTGCACGGGTCCTCTCGACCCTAGGACCGGCCCCATCGCTCGTCCTCGTCCGTCTTGGATGCCTTGTACCTGTTCTTATCCTTGTCTCTGTTGGTGTCTGAGTGTTTATGTCTCTGATCTGGATCTCTGTGATGATGCCGATCTGTACCCCTGTGCACCTCTCTTCCTCTATCCCTTTCACCTCTTCGAGTCCCTTCCTCCCGGCTCCGTCTCCTTTCTGAAGAATGATCTTTCTCATCTTCATGTTCCCTCCCGCTGCGTTTGCTCGTCTCAATCCCTGTGTTTCCGTCCCTCCTCTTCTCTCTCCTCCGTGCAGCCTCTTCTCGCGATGTTTCTTGCCCCCTTCCATAATCCACAACATCATTGCTCTTGTCCCGACCCTGCCTTTCTGCTCCCTCATACTCTTCCTCCCATCCCCCCCTACCCCAATCCCTCCTCCTAGACTTGGAGCCATATCTCTCCCTCTCAACATCCCTACCACTCTCTCTTCCATCCTCCCCTCCACTCAGGGCTTCCCTGCAGAAGCCTCTCCCTCCTCTATCCACCCTTGCATCCCTCATGGCATCCCGTGGCCGCCTCTCCTCCTCCTCCTCCTTCCGATCCCGACCCGGACTTCTCTTACCACGTTTCTGATCATGCCTTGTGTCATTGCTCTTCTCCGTCTCTCGCTTCCTGGAATCTGTGGCATCACCCTCCTTCTTACACTGTTCTGCACCCTCTTTTTTCCGCTCCCTCTCGCCCCCCTGACTTCGGCCGGAGTTGTTTTTCCGATGCTTGTCAGCCGTGCTCGCCTGAAGCAGGTGAAACACGCTCCCTTCCCAGGGATTACTACCCGGCGCAGCCGCAGATGCTTCTCTCAGAGAACGCGGGGCACCACTTTGCTCAGTTGCCTCCACATTTCGTTGAATCTGACCCGCCCTTCCCTTGAAATCCATTTCCTTCGAACGTCCTCCTTCGTACAGGTCGTTCGGCCAACAACCACCAGAACCGCCGCCCCTTGCATGACCACCAAGCTCTCTCGCACGGGCCTTCCGCTCTTCCTCCTCATTCCAACCCGTATTAGCAGCCCTCTGATGGCATCACCACCACCGAGATGCAAGAACGAATGCAAAATGGCGGTTTAGAATTTGGGGATGCAGAGCAACAAAACGTACAAAAGACGTTCAAAATACTACACCCCCTCTGTGGAAAGTGCACGTCCATTTTTTTTTCAATTCATACAACGTTTTTTTTTCCCGTCTGGGCACAGACAAAAAAAAAAAGGGAGAGCGAGGCCTGGGGGGGGTGGGGAGGAGGGCTGGAGAATGGCATGACTATCGCAGATCGATATCTACTTCTAAATCATCCTGATTCTGCTATCTTCATTTTTGGGCCTACAAGGAAGAGAGCAAGGGTCGGCGGCGAGGAGGGGCAGCAGCAGCCCTCTGATCAATGGCATCGGTATAGCGATGGAAGAATGAACGCAAATTGGCGATTTAGAATTTGGGGATGGAAAACAGCAAAAGTAATTTAGAGACCCGCACTTTCCTTTTCTTTTTTTTTTCCTTTTTTGAAGTTTTCTTCTTTTTTTGTAAAAGAGTAAGACTGCTAGACCCACAGAAGGTGAGAAAGGGCTGGAGAGTCCTTCTGGACATCCGCTAAAACTCAAAATTGGAACGATACAGATTAGCATGGCCCCTGCACCACCCGTCAGGCAAGGCCTCAATTCCGGTGGTTCTCTTATTACCACCGGGATGGAGGCGTTGCACAAGGGCTTTCCCAAAAAAAAAAAAAAAAAAAAAAAAACATGGCTCCTGCGCAAGGATGACACGCACAAAAAGGTGGAGACAGAATACTCCATGTTAGAGTCCATAATAATAAGTTAATAACTAATAATAAGTTAATAATGCATGGGTCCTGGAGACCATCTCACGCAAGAGTGCTCACAGCATGCATCATCATTGCTCACAATGAGCTGAAGTCTCCACACATTAGACAAGGATAGATGAGAAGAGTACCGAGTTGCACAGCTTATATTGTCAAAAATGTCATTTACAAGAGTATCACAGTTCCCTGAGTTCAGCGCTTATCAGCGCAATGCAAATCTCTTATCCAACTCATCAATGCGGCTTCTACTCATCAGCGCCACATCTGCAGATCATACCCAACTCAGGTAAGTATTCTCCATAGCCGAGTCTTGCTTGAGCACTCTCTGTCTCGGTCCCTTCCTCCACTAATGCATACACACTCTTCTCTCTGAAGGATCTGCTCTGAATGCTACTCATAGAATACTACAACTAACCCTCTAAGTCTAATACTAACCCGCTGGGCAGCTATGGCTGCATCTCTTTCCAGCACACAGTCTTCTTCCCTCACATAGCGCCACTTCATCCTCCAGCGCTGCTCCTCCTGACTGGCGCACAAGTGCTTCAGCACTTCCACGCGCAGTATGCCAGTGGAGATCTGCGTTGAATGAGGCTGGCTGGTTCCTTTATAGCACTGACCTCCTCTTCGCTGGGTCTGCATTGGCTCATTCAGGCCTTCCCTTGTCCCAGACCCTGCATTGCATGTGTCCCAGGACTGTCCCAATGAAGTCAACTGCTGCTGAGGCCTCTCGGCCTAGATTTTGGACTTGGACGTCTGGATCTGGACTGTCCCTTAGACTAAGACCAGAACTGGGACTCTGTTGATTGACCTACTTTCGAACAGGTACAACTTTGGACGAACAGACACACATACTGCCTGAACAGACATCCGCACTGTGTGAATAGACACTCCCCTTCTGCACGGACAGACACACTGACTACACGTACAGACACATCCTTATCCGAACAGACATGACATGTGCATCTCCTGTCGAACAGGTATGTCCTTCTGCAATGATCTTTTGCTTTAGTTTAGGAAGTGCCCTTTGACCAGAGAACCTGATCTTTGGTCTGCTTTCACGTTTCCTGAGTTCTGGCGAGATACCCCTTTCACGCTGCTTTACTTTTACAAGGGCTGAATCGGGTAAAGGCCCTTTTAATAAGTTAATAACATATAAATGGGGGCAGAGAAGACATCCCCAGTTGGATGGTGGTGGTCCCTGGTCACTTGGCCCAAACATCTCCCAGCTCTCTGGGAGGTGCTGAGTTCTCGCTGACATCCATTTTCCTCTTCCGCTCTGCCATCACCTTGTGTCCATGTACGCTCCCTTCGATCTTTTTGCTTTGACACCCGCCGCCGCATATTTCGACTAACGTAATCTGGATTTTCATTGGAACCTTTTTCTTTTTTTCATCTGATTCCAACAGGATTTGAACTCAGGTCTGCTAAGCAAAACCCCTCAGCCACATGGGTTGGGGAGATTGCTGTGCTGTATGTGAAACACGCATGTCCATTTGTAAATTCCACCTCATTTCCTAACGAGGTATCACCGTATCTGGACAGGACGTTGGCCAAAGTACAGGCCTTAGAACCAGCATTTCTGCACACATGATTCTCAGGCTGTGTTTAGATGCCAGTACAGAACGGGTAGATAAAATGAAGGACTACTGATCGACTACAACAAACCACTTTTGTCCACAAAATGTGGCCCTTAAACCACCAGTAGATGGGCACCGGGGCCGCGGGCCTGACACCTCAAATTCTGGAGGCACGAAACGAAAACACGACCGCCGATCAAATTTATCAATGGCGGGCCCAGCGTTTGACGTTTCGGCCTCGTTTTCTTGTGGCGACAAGTTTCAGACTGCAAGGCTGGGGCCGTGTATTACTTGTGGTTTAAACCACCAGTAGATGGCCTCAGGCAACTGGGGGAGAACCTGTTTTGAGCCTCTCCGAAAATGTAGGAGGCCGAGCGCCGTAGATAAAATGAATCGGCGGTGGGCGGCCTCCGAAAGGGGCCCGTGGCCGATAGCTGGCATGTACTGGATGATGCACCGTTAAAGACCAGAGTTACCCAAACAGATACGTGCGCGTACGTTCACGATTAGAGTGTGCATTGCGTCCAGAGCACGACAGAGTAGAGTCGCAACTACTAGTTATTGTTATTGGATGTAGCCAAACCTCGAGATTGTGGGAATATTTGCAAGAGCCCCCCCTTTTGCATTCTCCTCTTTGAAAAGCATGGCAAACACCACGCTCCTCCCTGGCCCTCATGGCCTCCTCATCTTCTTCTTTCTTCTTCTTGTAGTCCGCCACATGATCCACTTTGATTGTTCGTCCACCAATCACAGTCCCGTTGAAGTTATCTGCAAATGTCATAACCATGCGAGGTCAAGCAGACACAGTGCAGCCGGGACTCTGTCAGAGAACTCTTCCTTCCTTGTTGATTAGAAAATAGCAGCCGTTGGTTGTCCTTCAGGACATCCATTAAAATTGGAATGATACAGAGAAAGAAGATTAGCATGGCCCCTACACAAGGATGACACCCATAAATCGAGAAATGGTCCAAAAGAAAAGAAAGAAAGAAAGAAAGAAAGAAAGAAAGAAAGAAAGAAAGAAAGAAAGAAAGAAAAACAGCAGCTGTTCTTCTGATTGAGGTGGTTTCACGGCTACACAGGACCTATGAAAAGGTTGCCTGTCAAGGGAGGGGGGAAGGGGGAGGGAGGGGTCATGCGGAGGGG